CAGAGGTCCCTTCCAGCCCCAACATTCTGTGGTTCTCTGACTCTATGCTTTATGCAGATGTGTGCGTTCAATTTTAGAACTTCAAAGCTGCAATTGATAATGGTAATTGGGGATAGAGAGAAAAAGCTCAACTGCAGGAGTACCTGATTGCTGTTCCATAACTGTTCTCTCTTGGTTTTGCAGCGTGTTAGTTCAGTGTTTGTATTTATTTTGATTATTAATGTCACAGCAGCCACTCTGTATAGTGAGCAGCCACTGAATGTCAGAGAAATCAGACATTGAGTCTTTGTCTGCCTTAATTGTGATAAGTTTTAAAGTAGATTATTTGCTTCACAAATAAAAGCAAGGAGAAATGGTGTTTGCCCATCATAATTAACAAAAGGGAATGCAAAAATAAATGTTTTTAAACCTTTAATGTACTGGGTATTACAATGCTTCTGCACACAGAATAATCAAGCAAGGCACAACTAGAGATAAAAGCCTTCATGGTAAAGTCTACTTTTTTTTATTATGGGAACAAAATTGGTAGAAGAGGTAACAATCATCCAATATTTTAGAAGGTAATTGAGACCGTTGCCTATCTTGGGTGAGTTTCCAAGCCCTCAACTTCCAGAATTTTGCAAATGTGCATTTCTTTCAGGACCTTTTTAAGTCCTTTGCTTTGGGATCAAGAAAGTAGTTATGGCAGTTTAGACCAAAAAATTGTAATGGTTTCACTTGAGAATTTTTATATATTTATTGAGATGATAGCGGTGCAAAGAACTAAGGGCACCTGAATTCTTTTGCAGGTGGAAAATCCATGAAGCTTGTATGCTGGCCCTGGGCTCTGTGAAGTCTATCATTACAGACAGTGTGAAGAACGGCAGAATACATTTTGATATGCACGGCTTCCTGACAAACGTCGTTCTTGCAGACCTCAACCTCTCGGGTACGTTGGACCTTTTCATTTCTCAGAGTAACTGCTGAGTAACCTGAGAGATGTCTTGCAAAGCACACTGGCTCAAGGTTGCTGTACGACGTGGTGCTGTGAAACGCAGTTGTGCACAGTGTTCATGTGAAAGGGCGTAAATCCCATCTTGTGAGTTCACACGTGCTACCAGCTCTCTTATAAGTCTTTCAAAATGTGAGACACTGTGCTTTCAGGTGAAACTCACTGTTGGCTGGATGCTTGAGCCTGGAGGGCTTGGAGACGGAAGGGCGATTGCTTGGGGAGCTTGGTGGAACATAGCTGTTGTGTTGGATTGTACCTGTTTCTGGGAGACACCAGCAGTGTTTGACAAGTTTCATAATTCCTGCAGCACCATCCCATGCCATTTTCTTTATCACAAAAATCAGAGAATGGTCAGGATTGGGAAGGACCTCTGGAGATCCCCCAGTGCCACCCCCTGCCAGAGCAGGGTCACCCAGGGCAGCCCCACAGGAACGCGTCCAGGCGGGTTGGAAAGTCTCCAGAGCAGGAGACTCCACACCCTCTCTGGGCAGCCTGGGCCAGGGCTCCGGCACCCGCACAGGGAAATAGCTTCTCCTGATGTTTTGGTGGAACCTCCTGTGCTCCAGCTTGCACCCGCTGCCCCTTGTCCTGTCACTGGACATCCCTGAGCAGAGCCTGGCTCCGTCCTCCTGACACTCCCCCTTTCCATATTTATACACAGGAGTGAGGTCACCCCTCAGGCTCCTCTTCTCCAGCTGCAGAGCCCCAGCTCCTCCAGCCTTTCCTCCCCAGGGAGATGTTCCATCCCTCCATCACCTTTGTGGCTGTTACGCTGAGGCTGATGCTTGTCATAGTGTGTGGATTCAAGTGATCCTCCTAGCTCAGTGGGATCCCATTCTTGGGAATTCTGCAGATTTCTGCTTTCTGTGTTACCTTACATCTATGTGCAAAAAAGTCAAAGGAACTGGACATCAAAAATGCATTCCAATAATTAGAGTTTGAGAAGTTTAAGCCAATATGAGCGTTATTGGCGAGTTCACTTTGTGTTTGTGCAGAAAAGCATTGCTGGATGCTTTCATCAAAGAAACATTTCTTCAGCCCATTACAGAGAAGACTTTCTCTTTTGAGTTAATTTTGAATGAAGAAATAGTGTACAAGGCAGCTAAACGAAAAAGCAGCTATTTACATATATTTGCACACATTTATATATCATAGAATGAGAGAATGGGTTGGGTTGGAAGCGACCTTAAAGATCATCTGGTTCCGAGCCCCCAGCCCTGGGCAGGGACCCCTCTCTCCCACCAGCCCAGGTGCCTCCGAGCCCCGTCCAACCCGGCCCCAGGAACTGCCGGGGATGAGGCATCCACAGCTTCTCTGGGCCACCCTCACAGCAAAGAATTTCTTCCTAATATCTGATCTAAATCCACTCTTACAGTTTAGGACCGTTACCCCTCATCCTATCACTACACTCCCAGACAAAGTTTTCCTCCCCAGCTTTCCCGTAGCCCCTTCAGGCCCTGGAAGGTCGCTATAAGGTCTCCCTGGAGACTTCCCTGCTCCGGGCTGAACCCAGCTCCCCCAGCCTGTCCTCACAGCGAGCTGCTCCAGCCCCCTGAGCATCTTTGTGGCCTCCTCTGGCCCCGCTCCAACAGGGCCGTGTCTTTCCCATGCTGGGTACCCCGGAGCTGGACGCAGAGCTGCAGGGGGGTCTCACCAGAGCAGAGCAGGGAGTTGAGTTCCCTCCCTGGCCCTGCTGGCCACGCTGCTCCGGCTGCAGCCCAGGACACCGTTGGCTTATCCTGGTGTTGCGTTATGAATGAGCTGTTGTGCTCTAGGAAGCTTCTGGGCTCAGTACATCAATAGTTCTCTGAGGATATCCATTTAGTGCTGAGGAGTGGTGAGGAGTGGTAATATGACACAGAAATGTAGTGTTTGTAATACTTGCTTGGAAAACAAAGCTTTTCCCTTGCTCTGCATCTGGCATGGAGTTTTTTTCTGTCCTCGTCTTAGAATTAATACTTGCAGGAGGATAGATAATGGCAGTAAGGATGCTGAGAAATAGAGAGCATCTGTCTGAGCAGAACCTACACAAGGATGCTTTTAGCCTGAAGGTGCGGAAGGGCTCAGTGCGGTAAAAATGCATCATGCCTTGTTAAGAGTAAACTGGTGTGTAGATAGTGAGTATTCACTGTTCGTCTGGTGCTTTTGAATGTTGCAAGGTGATGACTGGAAACTAGAAAAGTAATCTGTAAACCAACCTTGTGTATGTGCTCTTTTTTCTCTAGTTCTTTTCCCTCAGCTGCTGCTGTGGGACAAAATACTGAGCTAGATGGATAGAAATTATTGAAAAAGTCTTCATTCTCTTTCTTATTTCATTCTAGTGATCAGCATGTGTTGCTGTATTGATGAACAAATTCAGATGTGACTAGTTGAGGGAAGATAATTTCTCATTTGTTTAAGAAAAACATTCTTTGAAATCCCTGAGAAAATAAACTGGATTCTGCCTATGAACAGAAGTTGCGTGCCTGCCTGCGTATTTGTCTTCTCTGTCGCATCTTGCTGTTTTCTTACCAGGATGAGAAGATTTGGGGTAACAGATGGAAGCAACTGTAATTTGAAACTCTTGAAACTTATTCTAAAACCACTGGGTTTGGTTTGTTGTTTGTTTTTCCTGTTGCTTCAGTGTCTCCTTTCCTCCTGGGTCGGGCTCTGTGGGCCGCCAGCCGTTTCACAGTGGCTATGTCACCAGAACTGATCCAGCAGTTCCTGCAAGCTACCGTCAGCGGTCTGCACGAAACACAACCTCCTTCTGTCCGAATCTCTGCCGTCAGAGCTATCTGGGGGTGAGTAAACCCGGAGGTACTGCAAAACCCCTTTCAGTTAGACAAAGAAAACTGGGATGTTAAAATATTAGTAACATTCCTGTACAGGCTGTGGAAGCATTTGCTTTGAATGAAATAGGTGTTGACTTAAAAAGTGTAAGCAAGCAGATTGAAACTAGAATAACTCTAATGAAGAATATGAAATCGAGATCCAAGGTTGGCTACAATAAAATGTTATAATAGTCCCAAAGAGCAGCTGAACTAGAAAGTGATGAAAGGCATAAAGATGAACCCCAGAGTTCTCCTTTTCAGCCCCAGAGGCGACTGAACGACATAAAATGGGCTTGTGGAGCGAGTCACAGTGACAGGGAATGTTTGTTGGGGGATTTTGTATCCTGTTTTTGTAAGTAAATTGCAAGAAGGGAAGAGGAGGATCTGCTTTATCAGTTCTAAAATGGAAAATGAACATTGGTGTAAAACCAAAAAACTCAGCACTGAGTCACAGAAGACCTTGCAAAAACCCGGCTGCCCCCTAAAACCACACGTTGTCTTCTGTTTGCCCTGCAGTGTTAATGAACAAGTAAAGGCAGAGGCTTATACCTCAGTTGTTCCTGAAATCGGTCAGTCCCCAGCTCACTTGTAGAATGTGGTAATTAAACGCTTTGTAAGGGGTGAGGGCCTGTCGCTGACTGCTTCTTTCCTCCAGGATGATTTTCTCTGTCACGGGACAGGTCTTAAGAGACAACTGTTACTAAGAGGTGGTAGAAATTTTTAAGATTGCTTGACTCTGGTGCTGTGAACCATCGGGGTGGAATGAGGAGGAAGGGCAGGCGAGCTGGTGAGAGGTCAGGGAGTAGCAGACTGAAGGGGAAAGGTCCTAGAGAAGTGAACTTAATGGGGAAGAACAGGTAGGGTGAAAAAAACCCTTTATGTATAATCTGAAGTTAAAAGTATAAGTCACATTAATATATCACGAACTTCTTGTGTAGCTACTGTGACCAGCTGAAGATCTCTGAGAGCACCCACGTGTTGCAGCCTTTCCTGCCCAGCATTCTGGACGGGCTGATCCACTTGGCAACGCAGTTCAGCTCAGAGGTGCTGAACCTCGTGATGGAGACGCTGTGCATCGTCTGCACGGTAGACCCAGCGTTTACAGCAAGCGTGGAGAACAAGATCTGCCCCTTCACAATTGCAATATTTTTGAAGTACAGTAACGGTACGCATTCAAGTGACGTTCTCAAAGGGCAGTTGTTTTTACTGCTGAATCCTAGTGCTGAAAATGTAATAAATGATTGAATGAACATTGATTCATTTGGTAAAGCTGTGTCGAGGGTTTGGGCTGGGCTGGCCACTGAACCCTGGCAGATGCTCTAATCCCCTCCCCAAACGAGAAGTAAAAGGGAATGAGGCAGAGAGATGGATTGTAAAAGAAAATTTAAAACAGCTTTAATGAAACTGTGAGGCAGAGAGATGGATTGTAAAAGAAAATTAAACCAGCTTTAATGAAATATAATAGAAATAACGACAGATTAATAATGGTAAGCTATATACAGATATGTATAAATCCAATATGGAACCCGACTGCCCCCGCTCTGATAGCAATCCCCACTGGGGCTGCAGCGCCGGTGGCACCAGGGCAGCCCCACGCTCAGCGGCAGAGGGGAACCGGCACAGGGGCTGGATGTGGGAACTCAAGATTGGGATCAGAGGCAGGAGATTGGATGGAGTCCTCCTTGGACACTGGCCATCGCAGAAGAAAAAGAGGCCTAAACCCCTGTGATCCCTCAGTTTTATACTGGCTATGATGTGTATGGACTGGAATACTCTTGTCGGTCACCTCTCCTGTCTGTTACTCACCGGAGGTGCAACCTTCCACTTCCTTGTGACCCTTCTTACTCCCCAGCACCCCAGCAGCCCTGAGTAACTGCAGAGAAAAGTATCAGCCGGAGCCTTTCTGCATACCAGTCCCAGGCTGTAGCTGTAAACATCAGGTGTTGTCACCGCTCGGAGCAGACACTCTCTGCACAAACATGCTGCTGACTTCAGGAAGTGCACCCTCTAGGAAGAGACTGAACTGGAAAGGAAGAGTCGTTAAAACAGAATCAGTTCTGTGTAGCTCAAACCAGGGCAGGCTGGAAGGGCAAACTTGCTGCTTTCCCTGTTCAAACTAGTGGTAGTAAAAATTACCGTGTGTCTGTTGGTATGTTTTAGTAAACGGTGCTTTCTCTCTCCAGATCCAGTTGTTGCTTCTCTTGCCCAGGATATCTTTAAGGAGCTAGCTCAGATAGAAGCCTGCCAGGGTCCCATGCAGATGAGGCTGATCCCAACGCTCGTCAGCATCATGCAGGCCCCTGCGGACAAGATCCCAGCGGGGCTTTGTGCAGTAAGTGCTACCGCAGTGCCTGTGCTTGGCTGGACATCATTCCCTGCTCTTTGCTGGGTGGGACGGCCGGGCTGCGAAGGGCACGGAGGTTGCTTTGAACCTGCTTTGCAACAATGACCTCGGTCGGCGGGAGAGGTTTCTGCGGAGAGAAAGCAAACTGCAGGTGGGGAGAGATGCTTCCCAAAGTTAACTTTAAAACTGCTCCTCTGGCCTTCTTCCAGTCTCTGCAGCGTGTCCCTGGTCATTGTGCTTTGACGTAGCCATCTCTCACCAGCGAGTGTCTCCTCTTTTTGATAGAACGCTCTCCAGCACGCTACTTTTTTCTAAGGCTTTTTCCGATTTATGTGTCTCAATGTATAAATTGCTGGAGATAAACTATACAGGTTTGTCCCTTTATAAAAGATGGAGCATTAGCTGTGCAGAGTGATTGTATGAGTTCAACTCATAAACGTATTTATCAAATTCTTATAATCTGCATATTGATTGATATGACTGTAACAATCACTTACGGGTAATGGAAATAAATTGAAGTCAATGTAAACAAAATGGAACAAGTCAACTAGAGCAGCTCTGGCTGTGCTGCTGAGCGTGCGTCAGGGTACTGGGGAACTACTGCGCCGTATTTAAGCGATTGCACTGCTTCTCACGTTTGAACTGCCCTGGGAACTTTTACGGCGCACACCGTGTGTTCGTGTCGAATGCAGTGACGCTCAGGTGCGTGACTCCAAGGTTCTCTGCTTTACAAAATACTCTAGACTGTAAAATCAGGGTGTGATTGCAGCACGGGCTCGTATCCCTCAGTTTTACGCCTTTGATGCTTCCGCCAGTGGTGGGTGAAGCTGACTTGGCGTACCACGGCTGCTGCTCTGAGTGCTTGCTTGTGCTTTCCTTGCAGACTTCTATTGATATATTGACCACGGTGGTGAGGAATACAAAACCTCCTCTGTCCCAGCTCCTCATCTGCCAAGCATTCCCTGCAGTGGCCCAGTGCAGCCTGAACACAGACGACAATGCGACAATGCAGGTAAGGCTGTGCCAGTCCCCAAGGGGTGACCAAACAAGACCTTTAAGGAGCCTGGGGTTTGCTTGCCACTCAGGAGTCTCTGCAACCTCCAATTTATCATGAAGGTCTTGGTACTCAAGGGCCTGCAAGGACTTTTACTGATCATTGCTTAATTTGGAGAACAGGAGTGAGTAGAGCAATAACGATCTTTTTTTTTCCCTTTATTTTAGGAAGCTGGAGCACATAAAAAAAGCCCAATGAAACAAACAAAAACAAACAACAAACAAAAAACAAACCCCAAAACTAACTTAATTAAAAATAAGCACAAAAAACCCTAAACCTTATTTTATTTCACCACACCTCAGAATGACAAAGGCTGTCTTCAGGAACATGCTCAGGCACAGGGAAGCAAAAGACTCCTTGCACAGAAGACCTCTTCCTTCCAGCAGTTTTCTCCTGTACTCATTTAGGCGGGAAGGGGAGGGCAGACTTCCTTTTGGCTGAGCCAGGTGTGGGATGGAGAGAGAGCAAGGATTCATGTCGAGCAGCTTCAGTGCCTGAGCTGTGCGTGTTGGCAGCCTCTGCCATTACCTGATGCTGTCTTTAGAGTGTGTAAGAAGAAAGAAGCGGCACCAGAGGCTGAAAGCGCAGGGTGCCTTTTCATCCCAGCTACCAGCTGGCACAGAAATAACGAAGCTGGTTTCTTTCCTTCCGTAAGGGGTTTTATAGTGTCAGGTCCCCTTTGCCATGTGAGTGCAGACCCTAGAAATGGCTTTCCCTGAACGACATACCGGTGAGAAGAGGTTGGAGACCAGCATGCTGGCTGCTCTGGTGGATCTTTGTTTAAGAAGAATACAATGTGTACAGGTTGCAACTTGGCTGCTGGGTTGTGTTTTGTTCATGCTACCCTTCGCTGTCTTCATCTCTCACTTGTTAGAACCTCTTGGAATTTCTCTGGGTAACCAGACTGGCACAAAACTGCAGCTACTTCAGATTGTCTTTGTATTTACCAAAAGATGTTCTTAAGAGCTGCTGGTGCAGTGAATAGTTTTGTGACTGATAATGAACTGAAGCCTGTAGAAATTATTTCTCAGTTTAGGCACTGGTTTTACTATACATCAGAGAGCCTGGATCTTTTACAGATGCCACCAGTTGGCTGATTGTTTCCATCTTGGTCAAGGATCTTCTAGGGGTGACTAAAGGAGATGTCTCCCTGCTCCCGTACCTAGAAATGGAAATTCTAACCCGATAATTATCTCGTTTAGAATGGTGGCGAGTGTCTGCGTGCGTACGTCTCGGTGGCGCTGGAGCAAATTGCGCAATGGCACGATGAGCAAGGCCACAACGGGCTGTGGTACGTGATGCAGGTGGTGAGCCAGCTGCTAGATCCCAGGACCTCCGAATTCACCGCTGCCTTCGTGGGCAGGCTGGTCTCCACTTTGATTTCAAAAGCTGGAAGTGAGCTGGGAGAGAACCTGGACCAGATCCTGAGAGCAATCCTGAGCAAAATGCAACAAGCGGAGACGCTCAGCGTGATGCAGGTGAGCAGGCTGGGCGCCCGGGAGAGTAAGTAGAAGTGTTGGGAAATTTTTTTTTTTTTTTTTCTAATAGTGTGCCTGATGGTTTACGACTAGTGCAATTGGAGGGTCTGTACGTATCCTCTTGAAACAGTCAGGAAAACACCTCCTCTGTTTGTACAGAGCTGTCTGGGTTACAGGATAAGCCAGGTTCTCGTGGGT